ATTTATAATGAATTTTAATAATTTTTTCGGATTTTTTTGAAGCTTTAATCTGGTCGATTCAGCCGATTCCCGATCCGGATCGCCGATTCACCGATCCGAATTGGTTTTTGAGATGCTCGATCCGGGTCACCGATCCGCTTTTTAAACCATTGATACGAACTAACCGGTGCAAGCTGGGAAATGGGTTTTCTCGTTTAAGGGTGCATTAGTCATGCAAGTTGGAGGTAAAATTGAGCCAGATAGATGAGAAGATTGATTATTGATTATGCGTGCAGTTGGAGAGAGAGATAGGCATCTATCACATGTGTGATCATAAATCTTCCTATTGGATGAGGTTTTGATGAGTCAGCGAATTCATATATTTATACTAGTCCTCCCTCCAAAATTCATTTTAAAAATGTATTTTGGTTTATCCAAAATATTGGAGATTGAGAATCTATACTATCATTTTAAAAATGTATTTTGGTTTATCCAAAATATTGGAGATTGAGAATCTATACTATGGTGAACATGAATAACTAAAAATTAATAATTTTAAAAATAAAAATGGTAATTTTAATGTACTTTTTTATCGTCAAATCTAAGTTTAAGGGTGACCACACTTTTTTACATCCATATTTAAGATTGGATGTTTGATGCGCCAGGGGATACTTATGTAGAATGACATTCCATGACGCACAAAACACTTTCACTTTCTTGTTTATGCCACTTAAGTAACATGACCATGTGTGTACACAGGGGTAGATCTCCCTGCCTTACATTGCATAAGATGGGTTTGATATCCATATATGGCAATCTTTTTTGTTATCCTCCAATTTTATAGTATTCTATGGAATTTGAAGTCGATAGACAAGTATATGTGTTTAGTTGGTGTTACACAATCAACCCAATGTTATTTCTCTCAATGCCATGAGAATTTTCGGTGAAATAGAAAATGGCATATAAGTCATTATAGAGAGAAAAAAGTAACAGTTTCATCCATTTATAGTGAATTCAGTTTTGTTTGTTGCCAATGT